AAATACACTATTAGTTTGATATGATCTTCAAACATTGTTTTCTCATTTTCTTATAATATTTTTGAAATAATGTAGTTACAAATAAAACAAAGTTATATATTATAGTTGAGAAACTGTCCTCAAAATTTTATGATTTATAAACTCCTTGGTTTTATTAATTGATAAATATCATATGCTTGTTGATTGTACCACTTACATTTTCTAACAAAACTTCCCACAGAAAAAAATACTAATATTTGAAATCCAAAAGCAACTAAAAGAATTCACATTTTTAAGATCAGATTTTTCTGTTTCTATTTTATTATATCCCATACTTATTTTTATTATATTTTATAAGCATAATGATAGAATTTAACACCAATACATATATAATCTTTCCAAACAAATGACTATGAATTAAATCAAGCATGTGATTCAGAGAAATCATAAGGTTGCCAGAAAAACTATCAATATGCCAAATGTGCACAATCCTTCCACATTCATGTCCATGTTTCTCATTTAATAGTACACACATATGTGTAAAAACATACCCCACACACATATACACAATACATATTTTCTACAATACAATATATACTTTGGTATAATAAAACAGTGCAGTGATATGTGGAATGTTGGTGATTTGTGTGATTTGAGAAAAAACAAATATCTTTGAGGGAGTTGGAGAATTTGTAATATGTACCAGATACTAAATGATATTAATGATTTATTTATAATTTATAGTTATGATAAAATTTACTTAAGAATTACTATTCGTCATCAGTAGAAAATAGATAGAAAGATATATTGATAATATAACAACATTTTTCTTAACAAATTTCCAACCAAACAAGCTGTAGTGACAGAAAACGAAGTTTGTAGAAAGCAAAGATGAAAGAGGAAAATGACAGATGGACCTTAATACTTTTCATACTGTTCATATATACAGATTTCATAAATTCTCAAATAAAAAAGCAAAGAAAATGAGAACCAAAATAACTCATCAATTGTATAGACCAACATATAAAGACAAGGATTAATGTGTTGATAAATTTTTAAAATATGAAATGTAAAGCCTGAGATTTAGCTTGGTAGTGCTGCACTTGCCTAGCCAGAACAATGTGCTGAGTTTAATCCCCAGCATCAGAGGAAGAAAAAGAAAAGAGAAAAAAAAACATATGTACTTTCTAACATACTCAATAAATTAAAAATAATTATCTCTTCCTCTTGAATTGTTCCCTTCACAAGGATGTAGTGAACTTCTTTGTCTCTTTCAGTTTAGATTTGAAACTTACTTTGTCTGTGAATAAGATTGCTACCCCGCTTTTTTTCTGGGCTCCTGTTACATGAAGAAGTTTTCTGTCCTTTCACTTTCAGTCTATGGGCTTCTTTTTTTTCTTTCTTTCTTTCTTTCTTTTTATTGAATTTATTGGTACAATCTAGGTATACAATACAGTTACACTCATTACTGGGATGCTGTACCTTCACATGACAGGTCTTGGTTCTCATTTTTTCCCCTTGTCCCTGCCCTCCCTTCACCCCCTCCTCCCCTCCCCATTTACAAATGCTTTATTTCCATTTTTTCATTTTGTCATTTTTTTTTCTTTTGCCTTATTCCCTTTTCCCCTACCCTTCCCGCTTTCCCTGCACCTTTAGCCCTTTTCTTCCTATTTCACACTATTAATTATCCCATTAGGATATTGTGTACTATTATAGTTTTTCACACCAGAGAAACTATTTGGTATTTACACATGTGTGACTTATTTATTTCATTTAAGAGTATATCCTCAATATGTATCCATTTTCCTATGAATGACTGTAATTTCTCATTCTTTATGGCTGAGTAGTATTCCATTTATAGAAAAACCACATCTTCTTTATCCAGTCTGCAAAAGATGAGCAAATGGGCTGTTTCCAAGTTTTAGCTATTACACACTGTGCCACTATAAACATTGGTGCACATATATTACTGTGGTATGATTCCTTTAATTCTTTTGGAAAGATACTCAGCAGAGGCATGGCTGGTTCAAATGGAACCTGTAGTCCCAGCTCTTTGGGATATCTCCATATTGATTTCCACAGTGGTTACTCCAGTATGCACTCCCACCAATGCAATGCCAATTGAAATCCCAACACTATACTTCACAGAACTAGAAAGAAGAATCCAAAAATTCATTTGGAACCATAAGAGACCTAGAATAGCAAATGCAATACTAGGCAAGAGACACATGGCAGTGGGTATAACAGTTCCCAATTTGAAACTATACTACAAAGCCACTGTAATAAAAACAGCATGGTACTGGCAAAGAAACAGACCTGAGGATCAGTGGAACAGGTTGGAAGATAGAAAAATAACTCCAGATGTACTCAAGTACCTCATCTTTGACAAAGGAGCTGACCATCCTCAGTGGAGGAAAGATAGCCTCTTTAATAAATGGTGTTGGAAAAACTGGCTCTCAACCTGCCAGAGATTAAAACTAGACCCTTATCTTTCACCATGCACTATAATAAAATCAAAGTGAATTAAAGATCTAAATATTAAAACAGAAACACTATACTTGCTGGAAGATAAATTAGGCAGAACTCTTGAAGACATTGGCATAGGAAAAGACTTTATGAACAAATCCTTAGTAGCACGGGAACTAGCAGAAAGAATCAACAACTGGAATCTCATCTTATTAAAAAGCTTCTGCACTGCAAAAGAAACCACCAACAGAACTAAGAGACAACCTACAATGTGGGAAAATATTTTAACCAGCTGCTCCTCAGACAAAGGACTATTATCTAGAATAGATAAATAACTCAAAACAATCAGCCCCCCCAAATATAAATGACCTGATTCAAAAATGGGCATCTGAAATGAACAGACATTTCTCAGATAAAGAAGTAAAAGCAGCAAGTAAATATATGAAAAAATGTTCCACATCACTGGTCATTCGAGAGATGCAGATGAAAACAACACTGAGATTTCACCTCACCCCACAAAGAATGGCTGCTATCAAGAAATCACACAATAACAAATGTTGGCGGGGTTGTGGGGAGTATGGGCTTCTTTTTGCACTAGACATGTCTTGTATACAACATAGTATTGGATTTTGCTTCTTAATCCATTCTGCTGGTCTATTTCTCTTGATTGGTGAATTGAGGCCATTGATATTAATGGTTATAACTGATATGTACTAACTTATTATTGTCATGTTTTTTTCACCTTCTTTTAGTTTCTTAGCTTGACTATTTGATTTACTCTGTTGGGCCTCATTGTGTTGTTACCTTCATTGTCTTTTTCTAGGATATTGTTTAGAATTCATTGTAGTGCTGGTTTGGTATTCATAAGGTTTATCAGGTGTTCTTTATCATGGAAATATCTTATTCCCCCATCCATTTTGAAAGAATGTTTTGCAGGATACATCAGTCTAGGTTGGAGGTTGTTCTCTTTTAGTACTTGAAATGTATCATTCCAGGCTCTCCTTAACCTAAGGGTTTGTATTGAAAAGTCTGCTGTGATTCTAATGGGCTTTCCTTTGCATGTCTTTGGAAAGTTTTGCACTATAACCATGGTGTGGTGTATAAATTATAGGACAGATAAAAGTAGGGAAAGCAATTAGACTACTAAATTTTCCAGGATATAAGTGATAATTTCAGCTATTATATTAACCATGGAAGTGATGAATAATGATTTGATTCTATGTGTATTTTAAAGGTAACTTAGGTATGGTTCAGACAAAGAAGAGATGTCTCAAGGATGTCTCCAATGTTTGCGCTTAATATGGGAAAATAGAGTAGTTGTTTACTAAAATGAGAATTGCAAGAAAATAAGATACTGTCTGAAAGAGTTAAGAGAGTTACAGAATCCAGATCTCTACTTTTGGGCATTTTAGATTTGATTTGCCTTTACACATCCAAGTACATGTTGGATGATTACGAGTCTAGATATATGTATTGTCTAGTAGACAATACATGATATACAATCCTAGAATTCAAGGCAGAGATTGATGTTGGAGATATAAAACTAACAGTTTTAGCTTATGTCTGATATTAATGCCATGGGACTAGATGTCACAGGGAGTAGACAGCTAAATAATGATTTTTCTCATGACTGTTTACAGAGGAAACAAAATTTCCTATGAAATCCCAATTAAATTTACATTTAGGAACTTCATTGTACTAATTAGCTTTTTAAAGTTTATTGTAGTGAATTAAAATTGAGGACATGAACTCTGAAGCCAAGCATATCTAGGTTTAAATCCTGGTTATTCTGTTACTAGATCTGTTATTAAGACAAAGATACATACTTTTTCTAAGCCACTCTTTCCTCATCTCTAAATCCTTATGTTGTCTGCCACAGATTGTTTTGAAGATTGATGAATTAATTTAGTACAGTCCCTTACACATAATATACACTCAAAAGACATTAGGTAGTATCATTACATTTATCACTTTTTGGCACAGAATATACTATGGGTAACTGTGGCGGCCCAGCCGTCACAACAGGAACATGCCTGAGTTGGGGAGTGAGGATTGAGAAAGGAAAGAACACTCAAGCCTGAGTGGAGACCAAGAGAAGTGTGATTTATTTCACAGAAACAGCTCCTTTTATAGGTTCACATCAACAGGAAGCACCATGCAACTATTTGTATCTTTTATGCAAAGACCAGATTTTCTAACTCTTTGCAAAGAACATCAGATCTGTGCCTGTCTCTTTGAGTTTCTTCCATTGCAGCAACAAGTTTAACAAGGAGAGTCCTAGAATGTTACAGATTGTATCAATGCCTTGAGTGTAGAGGTGAAGAAGTTTCCTTTTAAATGTCAAACTCTTAGAGGGCCATGGCCGGGCTCCCACAGGTAACTTGATTTAAAGTCCTACCAGAGCAGGCTATGTTTTAGAATCAGTAGAAATAATTTCTTACTGAGTAATATTTATTTGTGGATGCTTGAATTAGGAGTTACTGATAGTTGTGTCATTCCTCCTTTTTTATCAGTGTTTCAGCATCATATTTTTGGCTAATTATCTTCATGTTTAGGTCACAGTGCTGTTGATATCACCAAGGTGGCTAGAAGACACCGCATGTCTCCTTTTCCTCTGACATCTATGGACAAAGCCTTTATCACAGTCCTGGAGATGACTCCGGTGCTTGGGACAGAAATCATCAATTACCGAGGTACTATCATACTTGCCTGTTGCTCTCTCTTTTCCTTAATTTTTTTCCAAGTAAGGTTGACATAATACAAAGGCAGAGTTTTCCCAAAAGAGAAATACTGCTGACCATTGTCACAATTATAATCATACTTTTTGTTTCTTATTTCTATTAAACCTAAGTATCAGCCTTAAAAACTTCCATAGAACTTAGCGATAAAACTTCCTTTTCATAAAAAAAAAAAAATGGGGGAAATCAGCCGTGTTTCTGATTCAATACCTAAAAAGAGGCCTGCTGGCACTAAGTGAGGAAAATAATTAACTCTGAATCTATATGATGACTTTTCTTTCAGAAATGGAAGATAACTACTATATCTTGTAATTTTGGTTACATATTGTAGAAAACACATATAGCCAGTCCTTGATTTACAAAGGTTTGATTTGAAATTTTTCAACTTTGTGTTGATGCAAAAGCATTCAGTAAAACAATACTTCAAATATTATGCTTTGATCTTTTCCTGCATTAGCAAATGTGGTATTACACTTTCTTACAATTCTTGGAGGCAGCTCCTAGACAGCCACACAGTTACCAGGGTAAGTTTACCTAAGCTATAGTGATCACTCTCTTAGGTATATTAAATGCACTTTGATTTAAAAATATTTTCATCTTACAGTGGATTTATTGGGACATAACCCCATTGTAAGTCAATGAGCCTCTGTATTTAAATGTAACCTATGAAAAATACACTAATTTATCCATAAACCACCAAATAATCAGTGTGATCTCACTTTCTCTGCATCATTTGTCCTCTCCTTTTATTTTTCTTTTAGTCTAGTAGCACACTGAGAGCAGTTTATGAAAGGCAGTTGTATTAGTCATTACTTTCCATCTCTATTTATACAAAATATCCGATGTAACCAACTTACAAACAGAAAGATTTATCTTACTTCATGTTTTTTGGAGATTCTGTTCTGTGATTGAGTGACCCCCTAACTGTAACCCTCTGGTGAGGCAGCACATTATGCCAAGAGCACATGGTGGAACAAACCACTAATCTCATGAGCCAACAAGCAAAAAAAGAAAAAAGGAAGGCTAAGGTCTTGTAATCCCCTTCATGGACTCAACCCCAAGGACCTAAGGGCCTCCTACAAGGTCCCTCCTCTTAGAGGTCCATAGCACACTGTAACAGTGCTACCCTGGGAAGTAAGTCTTTCATGTGTGAATCTTAGAGAAACAGGCAACATCCAAACTACAGCTCTGCCCCTAACCTTGAAAGGTTTATTTTTTATCTCAAAATACATGAGCATTCTTTCCATTTCTGAGAATCCTCAAAATCTTAACTGTTCCAGACTTACTCAAAGTTCAAGTCCTCAGTCTCCTCCAAGACTAACTGCAGACTCCTTCTAAAAGCCCTTCTAAGTACAAAACAAAACAACAGAACTTTTATCTAGCATACAATGGTGGGACAGGCACAGGAAAGACCACAGCTAGAGTTTGTGCTGCTCAAAACAGTTCTTCAGTCTCCCACCTTGTAACATTTCTGAATATGTTAACCTGTTAAAGTAGAAAATTAAAATGATGTAAAGAGAAAAACATTCATATTTCAATGTACTTGAATCTTCTCTGTGTTAAAAATGAGCAAATTGTTACAACATAATTTTCCTTTGGGCCAATAATGCTGCCCCAAAAATATGCCACCAGGGGAAGACTTTCCCCTTCATCCCCCACTAGCTATGCCACTGGACACAGGAGAAACATTTCCTGTTCCCAAATGAGAGAATAGATAAAAATGAGGAGGGCTCAGCCCATCAGAGCACACATTAAATTCTGTAGTTCTATGTCCAGCACCTGGGGCCCACTTTAGTGATTGGTAGGTTCCCAAGGTTTTGGGCAGCCCTGCTCCTATAGTCTTGTTGGTTGCAGCCCACATGGCCATTTTCTTGGGATGGCTTTTCCTGTTGCCTTTAACTTTCTTTAATGAACATTTTACATTGCCGGTATCTCTACCTTCCTTGGGTGTCTAGCTTCAGCTTTTCTTTCATAACCTTACTACATATTACTCTTTGCAGGGACTTCAATGTACAACCCTACAACATACTGCCTGGCTTCTCAGGCTTTCTCTTGAAATCTTGATGGAAGCCACTTTACCTGAGTTGTGTAACCTTCGTATTCTGCATGCCCAAAAACTAACACGTAGATAATGCCAGGGTCTGCTGCCAACAGGAATCATACCTGAGTTCATCTGAGCCATGGCTGCAACAGCCTCTGAATATTTTGTTGGCTGAATGTGGGAAATTGAATCCCTGGTCAATCATGGGTTCACAGGGATCTCAAGTCTCTTTTGTGAAATGATTCTATTCTTAAAAGTCTTTGAAACAAATTTGCATTTCTATATCTTTAAGCCTGTGATGAGTGGGCAGATTTTTGAGATACCCTTAAGGTATCTTTCTTGTTGTCTGGAAGCTAACAAGTAAACTAATATATTGCTTTTAAGCTCAGCCTTGCAAAAAGTACTATAAAGGATTAGACAAAATGTACCAAATTCTATGCCATTGTATAACGAGAATGGCCTCTAGTCCAATTCCCAGTTGAATCTGCTTTTCCATATGAAACCTCATCAATGTGGCCTTTACAGTCCTCATTTCTATCAGTATTCTGGTCTTCTGCACCCTTATCAGAATTGTCCATTAAGCTCCACTTATAAACAGGTTTTCTCTAACCTGTTCCTCCAAACTTTTCAAAGTTAATCTCTTAAGCCAATTCCAAAGGATCTTTTATATTGTCAGTTATAGCTAGACAGCAACAGCCCCACATTTCAGTACCAATTTTCTGTATTAGTCAGCTTTCCATCCCTATAATAAAATATGGCCAGCCCATGATCAAGTAGACCCATACTTTGAACCTCTGGTGAGGCAGCACATCACAGTCAGAACACATCAGAGCAATCACTGACCTCATGAGCCAACAAGCAAAAAGGGGGAGGGCTGAGAGAAGAGTGAAAGAGAGAAAAGAAAGAAGAGAGGGGAGTGGAAGAGACCAGGGTCCCATATTCCCTTCCAAAGACATACCTCTGATGACCTAGGGCCTTCCCAACATGACCCCTCCTCCTAAAAATTTACAGCACCTCCCACTAGTGCCACCTTGGCTATACATGGACTTTGGTGGAACATTCAACATCCAAAGTATAGGAGTTTGCCAGGCATGGTAGCACACACCTGTAATCCCAGCACTTGGGAGGCTGAGGCAGGAGGATCACTGTGAGTTTGAGACCAGCCTGGGCTATATAGTGAGCTCCAGGTCAGTCTCAACTACATAGTGAGACCCTGTCTCAAAAAAACAAAAATAAAAAGACAAAGTATAGGAGCAGTACTCCTCATTGCTTTTAGGTTTTAATCAACAACTTAAATTTCCAACATTTCACTATAAAAGTTATAGATAATGAATCCCAGAGGACAGACTCCTGAGGAAAACTTTAAGCCAATAACAGTTATGGTCACTTCCCCCAAAGTAGCAGTTATATTTAGTGCAATCTGAATAAAATATAGTTTCTTGTTTTGTTATGCATTGGAAATAGTACAAGAGATTTAACTTTGTAAGTACAAGAATTTTGTTATAGAATCATAAAATATTCAGACTGTAGTGAACATAGAAAGCATGTATACAAACACCCTGATTTTTCTGCAAGGAAACTCAGAACAGCATAAACAGAAAAGGATAAAGGTACCAATACTTACATTATTTTTCTTGCTATATGATAGCTCTCTTCATCCAACATTAAAATTTAAGAATAACAGTAGCTAGCATAACAAATTATATTAAAAGACCTAAAATTTGTAAAATACTGTGTGCCATATTTTAGCTCTTTGGTCCCTTACCTACTTATACAAAAATTAGTTTTTATAATTTCTACTCATCCTACACATTTGACTTACATTCTTTATAAGCTTATTTTATTAGGCTTATACTTTTTCTTTTGTTTTTCTTTTATCTACCGAAAGAAATAAAGATTTGGGAGGGCCAGGGATTTAGCTTAGTGGTTCCAGTGCCTGCTTCACAAGCGCAAGGACCTGAATTCAATCCTGGGTACCAAAAAAGAAATAAAGATTTGAAACTCATTAAGAAAGAGAATTTGTCAGAAATTAACCATGTTATTTTAAAACTCAACTTTAATGAAATTACTTTCTTTATTATTAAATTCAGAATGTTCAAATATTTATTAATACTAGTCTAAACCAAGGTGTTTCCAGAAAATATGAATGTAAGCTTAAGTTTAACACATTTTAAATACTTGAATTATAAAAATAAATTAGCCATCTCTGGTCTCTCATAATTTCAGAAATGTTTCCCTTAATATCAGTCCTTAGAAAAAGATATTTCAAGTCAGATTAGACAGAAATTCCAGTCTTTAAAAAAAAAAAGATTTGGAAATGGCCATTACACTTTTCCTACAGAAGACAAATGCTTTCAGGTGTATTTTCTTTTCCCTTCATGTGCTTGTTTCTCTTTTATTTATCAGAGCAGTTGTCACTCATAAGTAAGCAGACTTCATGGATGGTTAACTTCTTTGTCAAGTGTTCTACCAATGATGAAAAATAATAATGATGTTTATATTCAACCTTTGAGTTGGATCGATCTCAATTTTTAATACAAAAGAGTATTATAGTTAGATTTCCTAGACACATCAGTTAGGTATTTGAAAGAACAACATCATATAAAAGATATAATTCAGTTTGCTCAGCAGGTATTGATTAAGCATCTACTAAGAGATACTGTTTTAAGTTCTGGATATACAAATATGAATAAAAATAAAGTGTCTGCCTCATGGATCTCACAGTCTAGTGCAGAAGAGAGGTAAACAGTGTGGTGCTTATCTTCTTGATTGCCTTCTTTTGTTAATCCTTTGAATTAAGCTTTCTTTCATTTTTTGTTTTCTTTCCCCTTTTCACATCTTGTACTTTTACTTTACACAACCTCATACATGCCAGTGGTTTCAAATACCACCTATATCCTCATTTTGAAATCTG